AATCAGACAGCCTGTCCCTCGTAAGTGAAGTGAGTCCAGCTGTGAGTGTAGGGAGCTCTCAGCCTCCTGATGGGGTAGCTGTCCCTCCTCCACCTACTAATTCACCTTCCAGCCCTTCCTCAGTCCCTGGAGGGATGCGGGCTGGAGAGGCCCTGGCAGGCAGGTGGCTTAGTGGGAAGAGCTAGACCCTGCAGCCCATCCCACCCCCACTCATCTGCTGTGTGACCTTGGGCAGGTCATGTAACTTTCCTGCCTTGGTCCTCACGGTAAAGAAATGGGATGATAATTCTTCCTCAAAGGATTGTTGAGGGATTAGAGACATAATCTCTAGACTGGTGGGTCTCAAACTTGAGCCAGCATCGAATCCCCTGGAGGGCTTGTTAGGACCCAGATCTGAGCCCCATGGACAGAATTTCTTATTCGGTCGATCTGGGTAAGGCATGGGGATGTGCGTCTCTAGCAGGATCCAGGCAGTTATACTGCTTCTGGGACCCCAGTCTTAGAACCACTGCCCAATGCCCTGTCCACTGTAAGTGCTCCAGAGGGGACAGATAATATTTGCAATGTAGTCAACAAATAAAGAACCCAGCACAGTGCCGGGTTCTGGAACGTCCCTGACCTCAGGGCCCCTAGAATGTGCACACACACACACATGCGCACACTAAGTGTGGGGTGCAGAGGGCAGGTGACTCTCTCCTGGGGCTCCTAGGGCTCCAGCCAGTAAGCCTGGGGCGGAGGGAGGACGGGGAGCGGGAGTCTGCCTGGGCTACCACTACAGAATAGCACAGACCGGGGAATTTCGACCATGGGAATTAATCTCCGTGTGCACACACACGCCCCGCGTCTCTTCCTTTTCTTACAAGGACACGAGTCCTGTTGGATCAGGGCCCCACCCTTATGACCTCATTTAACCTGGCACCTCCTGAAAGGCCCTATCTCCAGACACAGTCACCTTGGGGTTAGGGCTTACACCTAAGAATTTGGGGGCACACAATTCTGTCCACACAGGGGGTGACAGGGAAGTCCATCTGGGTTCAGGCCTAGCCTGCATCGCCAAAGCTCCCCCCCACCCCACCCCTGCCACCACCACGCGGCTGGACCCGAGCAACCATAACCCAGCCCCAGGAGACGGTGAGCCCCGCCCCCCGTCCCCAGCCCCCTCTCCCAGAGCCCAGTGACTCTCTTCGCGGTGGTTGGCCACCTCTTGGGTAAACTGTTCATCAGAAGATGCTCTCCAAAGCATGGCCCACATGCTGTTGTCATTGATTTCATTTTGATTATTCATATTAGTGGGATTATAGCTGCCTCGTCCCAGGGGGTAATTAGGGTAAGTGTCGCATACGGGCCAGGTCAGCGCTGGAGTGGGCTGGGAGTTCCTGCAACAGGCACCCCAGCCTCTGCTGTGCCGGCCAGTCCTCATGCAGGGCATGCTCTGGGCAGCCCAGCCAGAGCCGGGGGGGGGGGGGGGGCAGCTGGGGGACTGCTCGGGGAGCCACGGGAGCACCTGCATACCCCAGTTTCCAGTGGAAAGTGGGGCCCTCCTGGAAACTCGTGGCCTGCACCGGCCTGTGGGGGAGCGGGCTTGGCCCACCCACCCCTGCCTTCTCCCTCCATGGTACTTGCCCCTGCCCAGCCTTCCTGGGACCACCACCCGAGGCTGTGCCTAGGTTGCTGTGGGGAGGCCCCCCCTCCCTGGGATTGGGCACAAGTTGGGCTCCTCCCATTTGAGGTAGCCGACTATGGCCTGGGAATTAGGAGCCCGGTACCCTCCACCAAGACCTAGCAAACAGTGGGGACAAATATGACCCAGAGCCACCAGGAAGCTATTCTTCTGGGAATTTCCTTTTCTCTTTCTGTGCTTCCCCCACACACCCCCCACACACACCCCAAGTCATGACCTTTACATTTAATCAAGTGTATTTTTAATGCAGTGTCCCTTTTGCTGCTTTTGCAAAGGGCGGGGGTTGGGGGGGTAGGAGGGGACAGCCGGCCAGCACACGTGTTTATTAACCTTCCCTTCATAAAACACTCTTTTCCCATAGAAATCTCCTTTCCCGCTGATTCATTACGTGTCGGAAGCAGAGCATGACATGTTAAAAGCCGTCTTGATAGTATTTGATATTCAGTACTAACAACTCACCAGCTCGGAGGAGGGGGTTCCTCTCCCCGCCCCCACCCGAGGGGGAGGGACACAATCTGCATATTGAATGTGCCAAGACAGTAGGTAATTTGCATTAAGCATCCAGAAATTCTCTGCTTGCAATCTGTCACCCTTCACTGGGTTTTCATTTTATAACCTTCACAACAGAAAAGAGGAGAACAAGAGGCAGAAAGAATGCAGGCAGGGGTTCTGCTCGGCAGGGCTGGGGAGGAAGCCCGGAGTGGGCGGCAGCTGTCAGCAGAGGGGGGCTCTGGTCAGAAAGGCCGGAGGACCCCAGCAGAGGCATCTGCCACTCGAGGGATTCAACAGCCCACCCACCCCAAGACCCAGATCATCGGGCAAGGAGTGGCCGTGTGGCCAGAAGCCGGAGGTAGACTGCCCTGTGGGGAGGCCCGCTGCTCCTCTCTCCAGAGAGCCAAGTTCACACCCAGGTGGGGGTTTTCCTGAGAACGCCTTGGTCTGGCTTTGCAACGGGCATCCGCTCAGAGTCCACCGTAGGAAGGAGCAGCAATGGTGGGCTCCCAGACTTGCAGTGACCTGCAGAATTCAGGCTTAGGACAGAGCTGTGTGTTCGCCATCCTGACAGCCCATGAGGAACTCCTGGGGAGCTTTAAAAAAGAAAGCCTGGCACTACCCCAGGGCAGGGGCTGGGACACACCATCTGCATGTGCAGCTGTACGGCGCAAGGGGAGGGGGTCCTCAAACCCTGCACCCCCCTTCAGCCTCTGCTCCCTTCTCTACAAAATGAGGAGCCCAGAAAAGGTCCTCAGCCAAGTGGACCCTGGCCTTCACTCCTGCCTTGACCAGGCCCCTTCTGCTATTATCCGTCTTCCATACTGGGTTTCCAGGAGGAGGTTTATTTGAGTAAAGGTCTCTATAGCTGTAGTGAGATCTGCAAACCCCTGGCCTGGGCCTTGCCTTTCGGCTGCCGAGGACAAGGTGGGGCCCGAGCCAGCGGGAATGCAGGTGTTTTCACAGGGCTGCCAGACCACTCCCCAAGGGATCCCAAGGTGGGAGAAGGTGGTCTGGAAACCACCCCACCACCCCCTGCACAGGCCCATCACACGGCAGACACGACTTCCCATCCAGGCAGCTCAGCCGGCTCGGGGACAGGAGCCACTGGGCGTCAACCCCCATCCCCTCCTGATGATGCATCAGAAGCCAGGACCCTCTGGGAGCAGGGCCACTGGCCTCATCGGAACCGGACCAACCCCTGGGGCAGATGCGAGGAGAAGGAAGCAGCGCCCGCCGGGACTCCCAGCACATCACCAGCCACACGCAAGACGGTTTCTTTGAAAAACCACTGAAGTCCTACATAAAGGAGTTGACCAGGAACGATGGCCGATGGCCGTGGAGCTCTCTCCACGGGACTCCAAGGCAGAGCCACCGGTGGCTGGCAGAGCGAGCAGCTTCCTTCCCCAAGCCCAGATCCCCCGGCGTCGGGCAGGCCGCGGGCTGAGGCCAGCATTGCACATGCTCATCCCCATCACCACCCGTGACCGTCAGGACAACAGCTGTCCCTTGTTGTGAACACACAAAGTACAAGGCAGGTGGAGGGGGTTTCCTCCTGGCCGCCCTGTCAGGCGGAGACTATTCTGTTTCCATTTCACAGGTGAGGGCACCGAGACTCAGACAGGTTTAGTGACTTGCCCACATTCACACAGCAAGACCGAAACCCAGACTCGCATCCAGATATGAATCTGTCCCAGCTCCTCCCCGCTGTGTGGACCCTCTCCCTGTGCGGCTGCCTTCTGGAGCCTCACAGAGTGAGGGCAGGCCTGGGGCATGGTGACGTTCTTTCCCTGGAGGCCTGTGAGAGAAACTCCTCCAGCGGAGAAAGGACAGCGTCCTTGCATTGACAAAGCCACTGGCCTCTCCCCAGCGTGACCCCGCCCTGCTTCTCTTCCCAGACCACCTGTTCCCACTGTCCCCGTTTCACAGCAAGCTGGGTCCCTCCTAGAGCCCCGGGCCCTGGCCCCCAGCCCCAGGGCTAGGGACTCATTGCCTCTGGAACCTGGCCCCCTAGAGCCACCAGAGAGAGCGGGGCTGGGCCACGTGCCTGGCGTGGAGGACCATGGAACGAGTGGGCGTGACACCTATCAGCCCACGGGCCACGTGGGCAAGTCAGTTTATTTTAGATTTTCAGCCCCTGTCCTGCCAGGCAGGTGGGGAGCCCACCCTCAGCCATTCTGTGGATCCACCCCAACAGCAGGGACAACAGAGGTCCTGGGATTGGCCACGCAGGTGGCTGGTCATCAGTGGGCATCCACTGTCCAGGTCCTGTGGGCCCTTCAGTTCTCCCCCTTGTCCCCCCGCAGCCTAGCCCGCAGCCCCTCGAGGCCGAGAAGTCTGGTGAGAATGAGAAACAGAAGCTCCCCTCCAGGGTTGGGCATCCACCCGGGCACACAGCCTCCATCTCCTCTCCGAATCTCCACTACCTACAGTCTGGGGGGGCCTCAGACGCCTGCCACCGCTCCCTCCCAGTCTCCGCTCCCTTCTCCTCCACTCCGGGGCCCCTCGAAGAGCCACTCTTGGGCACTTGGACTTTGGGAAAACAGAAGCAAATCTCTAGGCCGTCCGCTCCCCGGGCTGCGCCGTAGGGAAGGGAAGAGGGGAGGCAGAGGAAGAGCACGGAGCTCCCAGTGGGAGTGGGGGTCTGATGGGGCAGCCTGGCCCCCTCCCCTTCCCTCCCTCCCCCCCCATGTACATCAGGTCCCCCCTAGAGCCAGCCTCCCAGCAGAGAGGGAGCTATGTTCTGAGAGGGCCCAGGTCCCAGCCCCCCGGGCCCTGCCCCTGCACCCCGTGACCTCTGACCCCCTCATCCTCTCTCTCCCCATAGTCCACGGCATCAAGTGGACCTGCAGCAATGGAAACAGCAGCTCAGGCTTCTCTGTGGAGCAGTTGGTGCAGCAGATCCTCGACAGCCACCAGACCAAGCCACAGCCTCGGACCCACAACTGCCTCTGCACTGGCAGCTTGGGTGAGCAGGGCCCCCCTGTGGGGGGGGGGGCGCAAACGGGCAGAGGGGGCCCTGCCCGACAGTGGGTGGCTCTCCTCCGCAGGGGTAGCCTTGCTGTCCAGTGAGCCAAGTGGGGTCAGCCAGGAGCCAGGGGACAGGGCAGGACAGCACCCGAGACAGACTCACCCTCATCCTGCCCTGTGGGGCTGGTGGGGAAGCCCACTTGGGGCAGGAGAAAGCCGTTTCCAGAGAGGTAGCTCCCTCTAGGGATGGGGGCAGCAGAGTTGGGGAGTGCATGGGGCTGGGGCTCCAGGCCTTGTCTACACACAGCAGGCACCCTCCAGGCCCCATCTTGGGTATCGTCAGCAGGAAGCCCAGGTGCCCAGGCACAGGACTGACATGGGCTTTTCAGGGAGGTCAGCCCCAAGTCAATGGGACCACTCAAGCTAAACCTCTCTCTTTAACCTCTGTCTCCTCCAAGAATATAAAGTGTCCCACACTCCCTGTCCTAATGTGTCTGTTTTTCTGATAATGGTATTTGCTCTTAGAAATCTGCATTCTCCACCTCCTTCTCTGCCTTAATTAGATATTTCCATTAGAGGGTCACGTCCCTTCTCTGCGAAGTCTTCATGCATTTAGGAATCATGGTGGCGAGGCCGGAATAGGCTCAGGGGATAATTCACCCTTTTACCAAAAGTGAAGTGACCCTCATCAGATGGAACGAAAATAATGGCAGAAGGGAGAGAAAAGAGAAGAGCCGACCGGGTCGCTGTGTGCAGAGGGCCTCGTGTGCGGAGCCCAGGGGAGACTGGCCAGAGTTCAGAAGCCCTTGGCCTAGGGCTTTCTCCCTCTCTGCCACTGATCTGGGGGTTTAGGGCTCTGTCTTTGCTTGGGTCTTAAAGGGATTTTGACCCACAAGGAGTTGAGGACAGGCCCAGGCTGGCCACATGGGGGAGAGGAGCAGATGCCTTTCTGCCCCTGGAGCAAAGTCTAGAACCTTCTTTGGTCCTGGGGCCTGAGAGCTAATCCAGAGAGCGAACATTGCTCTCCAACCCCCTGTCCCCAAAACACCGCTGTGCAACCTACACAGGCATGGAAAGTTTGGGGGAGGGGAGAGAGACACGGCCACACTCTGGGCTGAGCCCCGCCGGCCAGCAAGAGCTGTTTTGGTAAATGGTATCTCTCTCCGAAGGTGGAAAGCACTTTCCTGGAGGATGACCGACCCTCCACCTTCTCCTTCCCAACCACCTATGTCCTGAGGCACTACCGTTAGTATTGTTAGTAGTAGTAAATGCACCTCCAGGAAAAAGCCCCCCTGGTCTGGAGGCTGGTTCCACGGAGCTCGTGCGAGCCCCGGGGGTTGGGGTCGGTGAGCCCGGGCTCCCCAGCGTGGGTCACGCGCCAGCCCCAGGGGTTGGTGGGCTCCCGGGCTGGGCTCGGCCAGCCCCCAGCTGCTCAGAGACAGGGTCCACCGCAGCCGCGGCTCTGACTCTCTCTTTGCACGCGCGTGTGTGTGCGTGTGCGCACGTGTGCGTGGTGTGCCTCTGATCTCCACAGGAGCGGGCAGCAGCGTGCACCACAAATGCAACAGTGCCAAACACCGTATCATCTCGCCGAAGGTCGAGCCGCGGACGGGGGGCTACGGCAGTCACTCGGAGGTACAGCACAATGACGTGTCCGAGGGCAAGCACGAGCACGGCCACAGCAAGGGCTCGAGCCGCGAGAAGAGGAACGGCAAGGTGGCCAAGCCCGTCCTCCTGCACCAGAACAGCACGGAGGTCTCCTCCACCAACCAGGTGGAGGTGCCGGACACCACCCAGAGCTCCCCCGTGTCCATCAGCAGCGGGCTCAACAGCGACCCGGACATGGTGGACAGCCCCGTGGTCACCGGCGTGTCCAGCATGGCTGTGGCCTCCGTGATGGGGAGCTTGTCCCAGAGCGCCACGGTGTTTATGTCTGAGGTCACCAACGAGGCCGTGTACACCATGTCCCCCACCACCGGCCCCAACCACCACCTCCTCTCGCCCGACGCCTCTCAGGGCCTCGTCCTGGCCGTGAGTTCCGACGGCCACAAGTTCGCCTTCCCCACCACGGGCAGCTCGGAGAGCCTGTCGATGCTGCCCACCAACGTGTCCGAAGAGCTGGTCCTCTCCACCACCCTCGATGGTGGCCGGAAGATTCCAGAGACTACCATGAACTTTGACCCTGACTGTTTCCTCAATAACCCAAAGCAGGGCCAGACGTACGGGGGCGGAGGCCTGAAGGCGGAGATGGTCAGCACCAACGTCCGGCACTCGCCACCAGTGGAGAGGGGCTTCAGCTTCACCACCGTCCTCACCAAGGAGATTAAGACCGAGGACACCTCTTTTGAGCAGCAGATGGCCAAAGAAGCGTACTCCTCCTCGGCGGCAGCCGCGGCATCCAGCTCCCTCACCTTGACCGCCGGCTCCAGCCTCCTGCCGTCAGGTGGTGGCCTGAGTCCCAGCACCACCCTGGAGCAGATGGACTTCAGTGCAATAGACTCCAACAAGGACTACACGTCCAGCTTCAGCCAGACGGGCCACAGCCCCCACGTCCACCAGACCCCTTCCCCGAGCTTCTTCCTGCAGGACGCCAGCAAGCCCCTCCCCATCGAGCAGAACGCCCACAGCAGCCTGAGCGACTCCGGGGGCACCTTTGTGATGCCCACAGTGAAAACGGAGGCCTCATCCCAAACCAGCTCCTGCAGCGGCCACGTGGAGACAAGGATAGAGTCCACTTCGTCCCTCCACCTCATGCAGTTCCAGGCCAATTTCCAGGCCATGGCTGCCGAAGGGGAGGTCACCATGGAGACCTCGCAGGTGGCCGAAGGGGGTGAGGGCCTGATGAAGTCTGGGGAGCTGCAGGCCTGTAGCTCCGAGCACTACCTGCAGCCCGAGACCACGGGGGTGATCCGCAGCGCCGGCGGGGTCCCCATCCTCCCGGGCAACGTGGTGCAGGGACTCTACCCCGTGGCCCAGCCTGGCCTCGGCAACGCCTCCAACATGGAGCTCAGCCTGGACCACTTTGACATCTCCTTCAGCAACCAATTCTCCGACCTGATCAACGACTTCATCTCTGTGGAGGGGGGCAGCGGCACCATCTACGGGCACCAGCTGGTGTCGGGGGACGGCGCGGCGCTCTCCCAGTCGGAGGATGGGGCCCGCGCCCCCTTCGCCCAGGCGGAAATGTGCATCCCCTGCTGCAGCCCCCAGCAGGGGAGCCTGCAGCTGAGCAGTGCCGAGGGCGGGGCCGGCACCATGGCCTACATGCACGTGGCTGAGGTGGTCTCCGCCACCCCGGCGCAGGGCACGCTGGGGATGCTGCAGCAGAGTGGACGGGTGTTCATGGTGACCGACTACTCCCCGGAGTGGTCTTACCCGGAGGTAAGCTGCTGCAGCGCTGCCCTCCCCCACCTGCCCACCAGCGTGCAGCCCAGGGAAGCTCATTTGCATGGGGCTGCCCTTTGGATGAAGCTCTGGACCCTACAAAGTTGTCCCCTTCCTCTGTCCCCATGGCCTTTCTCAAGCAGTGGTTCCCAGACTTCACTGAAGCAAGTAGCTTGAAAGTCAAGGGTCTCCTGGGGGCCGGGTCACCCCTCCCACTCCCGCCAGAACCTGGCTGATTATGTATTAACATTCCACCTAGGTTTTGCTCTGCCCTTTTTTTTTTTTTTTTGAAAAAAATGTCCTAGGGCTGCAAAAACAAAACAAAACAAATTCAGAAATCGCCACCATAGGCCATCCGTATCCATTACTCTTGATTTGCTTCACTAAACAAAACAAAACAAAACATACAGAAATTCCCATCCACTGTGAAAGGAAGGGTACAGCTTCCTTCCAGAGTCATCCATGAAAATTTCATGGGTAAATCCGGCCTCTGCAAAATCAAAGGCACGTTACATGACTCAGGATGTCCCACCTGTGGCCTCCCCCCCACCTCCGGTTGCTCCCAAGCCCAGGGCTGCAGGAAAACCCAGGTCTTGCCCCAGTGGCTTGAAGTTTAAAGAAGAAACCTTGGCTTTTTCTCAGAGGTAGAACGGCACAGGAAGGGGGCCAAGGGGCCCGAGCTTTCCCTCCTGCCCTGCTGCACACCGGGGCACACACTCCCGGACTCTGCCCAGCCCACCTGCCAGTGCTTGGGGAGCAGCACAATCACCCCGGGGCCCAGATCGGCCCTTTCTCCCAGGGAGGTGGCTGTCCCTAAGTCCCTTGGTTCCACTGCCACGTCCCCTGGACACTAGGGTGAGGGGCTCCCGTCCCGTATTACTAAGGGAAGGGTGCTCCTGAAAGACCGTGGCTCTCCCGGGGTCGCTTAAGACAGGAAAACGTATTCCACCAAAGGTCTTCAGGTATAGGCAGTGCAGGGGTGCAGGCCAAAGCCTGTGCACATGACAGACCTGGGTGATTGAGGGGCTCCCCGGGATGATGCCCGAGTCGGGACCAGACCAACAGGGTACCCTGAGAAGTGAACTTCTTCACGGAGCCAGTCTCTGCTTCAAAGGCTCCCTTGGGCCCTGGTGAAGGGGACAGCGTGACCCACGGGTGGAGCGCATCTTGTGGGAGATGCCCGGGTGTCAGTCGGGCTCTGCCATGACTTCACCTCTCTGTGACTCAGTTTCCTCACCTATAAAGCGGGGGTGACAAGAGTCCCCTCCTCGGGACAAGGAGGAGCGCCGGGAATGTTTGGTAAAGTATTTTATCTGTCCATAGTAAGTAATCAGTGAATATTGTTTGTTGTCCTGTGGCTGTCACAGCTCACGGCCCATCGGGGGTCCTTTTCCCGTCCTGCTGCTGTGGCCGGGGCACCGAGGCCCCACGAAGCAGTTCCCTGTCCCTCCTGCTCACTGGTTGATCGCTTACGACCTTGGGGAAGTCACCTGGATTGTGGGCCCCCTGGTTACAACTCTGACCCGAAGGCTCATTACTCCCTCTCCTCCTTCTTTTATGGCAAAGCACAGATAAAATCAAGCACAAATGTTCCCAGCTCTCAGGAAGGTGCCACATCAGCTCAGCCAGTGGCCCAGGCTTCGTTCAAGGGGGTCCTGGAAAGACAGCGGGGGTCTGGACAGAGCAGCTTCTGCCCCGCACTGTGTCCTTGTGCGGCGGCGTGTTTAGCGGGGGTCCGGAGGCCGCCACCCCACGTGCTGAGGAGCATGGGGCTGGGGCCAGTGTGTGCCCCACGCTTACTAGCTGGTGACCTGGGGCAAGGTAGCTGCCTTTCTTATCTCTAAAATGGGCAGCGATAGCTCTTATCTCGAGGGCTGGTTGTTAAGGACCCAGTAAAGTACTCGGGCAGCACCCGCCTCTTCCATCCATGGAAGAGGGCCATGGGTGCTCCGTGGGCTCCTCCCCCAAGACTCCGGAAGATTCTGACCAGGCCTACTCTTGGTATGGCTCAGGTTGACCATGTCAGTGATACTGAGCTCAGGGGCATCCTCACAGCACCCACCATGTTTCACCCCTCACCCCAGGTGAAAGGTCAGCTCCACCCAGCAGCCTGCCCCCCACCCAGGGCTTAAGAAAGCAACTCAAAGGGACAGGGAGAGGGGTGGAGCAAGAGGTCAACTGGGAGACTTGGCTCCCTGGGCCTCAGTTTCCTTATCTGTAAATGGCCGAGAGGCGTGGCCTCAAGGCCCTGCAGGTCCTAGGCCTGGGGGCTTTGGCCCTCAGGACTCTTGGAGACCCCCTGGAGCCTGAGTCCTACGGGAACTGGAGGCCCAGGAGAGGCACAGACTGAGGCCCTCTCTCCCCAGCCTCAGTCTGTGTGCACGGGCCCCCCGGCAGGGGTCCGGGCCCGCCGTCTGGTCTCCACGGGCCTGGGGGCACTAGCGCAGGGCTATTAGCAGACCTGGTCCCCTGTTCTGTACCCCAGGAGCGGCAGGTCCCCAAACTGTACCTCAGGGACAGTCAGTTCAGCAGCCTGCCACGCGAGGGCAGCACGGGAGCAGGAAAGGATGTGGGTCTGGGCACCTCCGAGAGGGCTCGTCCAGTCCTGGTTTTCCAGAAGCCCTGGATGCTTCCAGAAAACAAAAGCAACTCAAATTCAATTTGATTCGGAAAATTCACAGATGCCACCCAGCTGGTCCCTTTGCAGCCCAATGGCCACACGGTGAGGCCTCTGTTGAGGCCCCAGCGGCTCTGACCAGCCCTTCCTCCTCACCATCCTCCTCCTCCCCAGCCACCGGGCCACCGTCCCCAGTCCAGCAGCACGGGCCACCCCCTCTTGGGTTCCCCTTCCAGAGACACTGTCTCCCCCTCACAGGCCCCTGGCTGGTACATCTGCCCCTTGCCCTCCTTGCCGACGGTGCCAAGAGCTCGGTTCTAGCCACGCTCTGCCAAGCAAGATGCACAGCAACACCCATAGCAAGACACCTCGGCTCGGGGGTGCTTCTTAGGCTGGAGACACGAGCTTGAGCCAGACTGGCCGGGCTCTAAAATCCACTGCTGGAAAGCTGAGGCCAGGCCACCTTGCTGTCTCTTCTGGGAGTGTCCCTCCCTCCCACCTCCCAGATGCTCTCTCCCTGCCGTCCCCTGCAGCTGCCGCTAGCTACCAGCACGCCTGCTCGTGCGTGCCCCAGGGTCTGCCCTGGGTGCATCAGAAATCTGGGTCCTTTATCTCAGGGCTCCCAGGCACAGACCTCAGATGGCATTTGTCGCCCCCTCCCCTCCCCCAAACCCTCTGCGTCATCTGCCTGCACTGACAATTTGCTGCACCAGGCAGAGGAAGCTGCAATTAGAGCCAGCCAGGCCGGCGTTGCCATGGGAACCATCCCCTGAACGGATGGATGCTGAGCCCATCCTACAGCGGTTTCCATGGAGAAGGTCCTGATGTTCCCCAGTCATTGCTACAGTTCTTTGTTCCTCACAGCGGCCCTAGCTTCATACCAGCGGCTCTTGACTGGGGTTATTGTTTGTTTCCTTTTTTCTCACATGGTAACTGTCTGCGGCTTTTTGAAGCCCCTGCTCTTCCTCTTCCTAGGATCCAGGGAGGATCGTGCCCTGGGCTGGCCTGTGGTTCTACCTCTGCCGTGCGGCACGCCTCCCAGCCAGCACCCGGCCTCCAGCCCGTGGGCCCAAGAATGCCGGCCTCGGTCCTGCCACAGCTCCAAATCTTCCTATGGAGCCATATATCAGCACCAGGGAATGTTAAGGCCAGCAGGGCCACCAGAGAGGTTGGGCCATTTGGCTGAGGACACACAGCTACTGAGGGACAGAAGCAGGCCTCCGGGCCTGAGCTATCTCCACTGTCCCCCACCTTTGGTTGTCTAGCAGTAAAGTGACTTCTCCAAAACCACCCCATCCCATCCAAGAGCACAGGTGGAATGCCGGCCCATCCGGGAGAGCCCTTCCGCTGCTGGGCTGTGGGAGACCCTCCCTCACCTCATCCCTGGAAACAACCCCTCCTGCTGTTGGTGCCCAAGGCCAGCCCTGGTCCAGGGCTGGGTTCCACGAGCATTGTGGGCAGCCCGGGAGTTAGCCTTGTGTTGAGGCTGGGGGTCCCTCCACGGAAGGGGCGGGCCAGTGCCAAAGAGAGTCCACGCAAGAACTGGTGACTGGGCAGGAGAGTGTCTCTGGCAGGGGCCAGGAGCAGGAGAGCTGAGGTCTGGCCTCTCTGGCCTGGAGAGGTGGGGAAAGGGGGGCCTGCTCCCCTCACCCCTCTGCCCTCCCCCTCAAGTAGGTATGCTGCTCAGTTTTCTGCAGCCTGGACACTAGGTGGCGCTCTCCACCCTGTCCCGGCACAGGTCCGGGGGGGCCCCCCCTGCTGGGAAAGGTGCCTGGAGCCTGGGGTGGCCCACCCACGGAGAGCCGGAGAGGCCAGCATCCCCAGCCCCCAGCTCTAAGCGCCTGTCCTGCTCAGGACAATCTCCACCTGCCACTCTGAGCCCTCCTCGCCATTTTGTTTCTGCAGCCTTTCTCATCCCTGCCCCTTCTCCCACCATCCCTACTATACCCTGGGGATCCTACAGCTCTCCCCATTTCCCCACCAGAACTCCCCATCCGTGGGGTGACACTCACATGCTCAGGACTGTTTTCAAAACTAGGGGTTCCGGAAACCTGTCCACAAGTAAATGACAGAAAAAGCTCCCTCCCTCCCCCTTCCCTCCAGGGCTCCTGCCGGCAGGTTCTCAGGTGCATCTTGTGCTGAAAAGGTTTGAACAACTCTGTGCTGCCTTCTGCCTAGAACTGAAAATTATGTAGGAGAGGGTCAGGGGTCAGAACCGCTGGTCACCATGCTGGATGCCAACTGAGGAAGGCAAGGAACATGCGGGTTCCCCCCCACCCCCATAGGCTTGGTCTTCCTGCCGCCATCCTGAGACAGCGGTTCTCGAAAGTCAGGGCATATTGGAGTCCAGGAGTGTGCACGTTCACCAGGCACATGGGGCGGGGGCAGCCTGGAAGGGCCGCGTCCCCATCCCTCCCTCCCTCTGTGGCTGACGTTCCTCTCCTCTCTGTCCCCTCCAGGGAGGAGTGAAGGTTCTCATCACAGGCCCATGGCAAGAAGCCAGCAATAACTACAGCTGCCTGTTCGACCAGATCTCAGTGCCTGCGTCCTTGATTCAGCCCGGGGTTCTGCGCTGCTACTGCCCAGGTGAGGAGACTGGCCCCCGCCACGGGCGTGGGTGCCCCAGGAGCCCTGCACGGAGGGTCAGCCTGGGAGCCGCCTGGGAGCCACCTGGGACAAGTCGCGTCATTACTCTGAGCCTCGGTGTCCTCTGCTGGGATGGAGGGTCCCCAGACCAACTGGTATAATGTCATCAGTTTAGGCTCATGGAGCTCACGTCAGACAAGGCTACAAGGCCTGCTCAGCTGGGATTTTGAAGCGAACACAATGAGGGACTGTTTGGACAGCCAGTAAGCCAGGCTGACACACCCAGGACTGGGCACAGCAGGAAGCTAGAACCACCCTCAACCTGAAAGGCTCCTAGAGCTGGTGGGGAGAGCCAGGCAGGGGGAGGGGCCCGAGAGGAGCCGCATCTGGGGTCAGAGCGACCAGGCAGCCCTCTCTCCTCTGGCCCGTGCCTCCCACAGTTCCAGACCACCAGAAGCCAGGAGAGCAAGAGCGAGAGGGAGCCCAGGCCATGTGGCCCACAGGGTCAGTGCCCCGGGGCACTGAGCAGCTCGGAGGGGGATGGAGAAGGCCTGGTGGCAGCTGGGGGGGGGGGGGGTGTCAAACTAGTCAAACTAAGAATAATCTGCACACTAAGAATAATCTACACATCCACCTTTGAGAATGTGAAACCATCTACCCTGCGCCCCGAAAAAGGCACGTGCACAGAATTTGCTGCCAGTTTCAGGGGCAAGAGCCCTCTGCTGTCCCTGGGCTCTGACCTTCACCCTCCCTCCCTCATCGTCATCTGCTTAGCTTGATGTCCCTGTCTGCTCGACTCCTTGACCTCTGGCCTGCCAGCTCCCTGTGGTCAGGATCTGTGTCTTTCCTGGTCACCAGGCGTTCCCCCCGGCACATCCCAAGAAGGAGATCAGTATTTGTGAAGGAATCTGTTCCTAGGGTTCTTGTTTTCCAACCCTTGTGCTGGTGCTGGGAAGACCCTTTGGCTGACATTAGCTCCAGGGATGGCCTGTCCAGCTTGCCCGGGCAATGAATGGAGAGAGAGCCCTACCCCGTGTTATCCGAAGCCAGGAGTCTACAAAAGGAGAGCGTGCTCCCTGTGGAGGCCAAGGGTTAGGGAAGACAAGTGGGGGCCTTGGGCCACCCCAGCTCTCTGCCTCCACCCACACCATCCCTCCAGCCTGGGGCTCCTGGATTTACATGGAACATTCTTCCTTCTCTCTCTCTCCTTTCCGTGTGCAGCCACCAACCCCACCCCAAGAGCAGAATGCTCCAGAACTGGGTTCACGGGTTCAGCCCCCACATGAACTCAGCATCTCCTTCACCACAAACATCTCAGGGAGCCAGGGATGGTGCCCATGGTGGCCTCCCCCTACTGGCCCTGCCCCCATCACTGCCTGGCCAGCTCCAGAGGACCCACTTAGCCCCGTTTGCAGCCCCGCTTGGTCTGGAGCACAGCCCTCAGGATACCGGCCCAGGCTGGGTCACCCTAGCATGGCTCAGGGCTGCGTGGCCTAATGCAGCAACCGCCCCCCACCACCTCTACTCCAGGGGGGTAGGGGGCGAGGGCAGCGTGTTGTTACACTGTCCACTCACCACCTGCTGCTGGAACAGGACTCGCCTGGCCTATAAATAGAAACCACTTCCTGTACCTGGTTCTTTCCTGGCTGAGGACCCAGACCTTGCCTGTCCTAGGTTATCTGACCCCTCCACAAAAAAGACTGGCCTCTGCATGCCCTCTGGACAATGTCCCAGGCCGGGACCTGGCACGTCCTGGGTGCTGGACCAGTCGCATCACGGCACATCCCAGATCAGCCAGTTACCCTCTGGTGACTTCAGCTCTGTACTTGACCTCTCAGGGCCTCCATTTCGCCATCTGAAAAACCAGCTGTCAGATGGGTGAGAGCAGAGGAGAAGGAAGGTCCATGAAACACTTGGTTCACAGGCTCAATTCATGAAAGTGCTCCATGTGCCAGGCTCACGAGCTTGGCACCCTGATGAGGAGACCAGACCCTGACCAGGAACACGGTCCCCCACCGTCACTGGCCACAGACCACACGCAGCATGGAGTCGGCGCCCTACAAGATCTCAGTAGTGCTCTAAGCGCAGGAGAGAGACAACCAAGTCAGGGCACTGAGCTCAGGGTGAAGGTGTGATGACAGAAGACCTGGGACTTTAGGAAAGGCCCCCCTGGGCTCAGGAGGAGACAGGAGAAGCCACCAACCAGAAGACTTGGCAGGCAGGACAGCCCCACCCTGGGTTCCTGGGAGGTCACCAAAGGCAAGGGGTGAAATTCAACATGAGGTGGGCAAGTGCACTGCGTTTTGAAGCAATTAATTGAACAAACGGTTGAGTGGATGTACCATGCCAGGCACTGACCTTGGCACTGGGCATGAAGAGGTGATCAGGACAGACCTGTGCCCAGCTCTCACGGAGCTTACATTCTACTGCAAGAGACAGAAAGAAACAAGGAGACAAATCGCCAAGCAAGTTGGAGGGAGAGTGGAACAGGTGGGGGGAGCCGAACACGGCAGGGCTGGAGAAGAAAGAGGGGACCAGCCCATGTCCATCCTTCTGAGTCACAGGAAGGAGTTTGATTTGGTTTCACTTGCAATGGGAAGCCATTAGTTTTAAGTAGGCAAGTGATGTGATCTAAATTATGTCTTTAAAAGATGATTCTGGGTGTGTGGGAGAACAGATTGCTGGGAGGAAGAACAGAAACAGGGAAACCGTAGGAAGCAGGCAGAGAGGTGATCTTTCCTGACTTCAGGAGGGGAGCTCCCTGGGCAACGTATTCCCACCAGTTTCAGGTGGGGGCTTTGGAATGTGGCCCCCCGATACCATCCCGGCAGGAACAGGTAGGTCTCGGGTGGGCTGAGGTTGCCTGCAGCAAGATTCTAGGTGAGAAAGCCTGGCAGCTTGGCTTAGAGTGGTGGCAGGGGAGATAGAGACAAGTGGAGGGACCAGGACTCGCTGATGGACTGAATGAGGGGAGGGAGAGAGAGCCGAGGACGTGCCCGGGGCGATGGCCTGCCTGCACCGAGCTGCTGGTCCGGGACACAGAGACTATGGTAGGTCCTCTCCTCTCCGTCTGTCTCTCTGTGGAAGGATGGGATGCTTTCGATCGGCCACATTCTAGCATCACAGGTTGTACAAGTGCCCGGAGATGCCGGGAGGTGTGGAGAAGAGCAGCAGTTGAGGAGCCCCCCCCCACCCCGCCCCCTGGGGTCAGAACATCAGAGAAGCCTTGGACTCCCCAGCCTCCAGCCGAGGCCAAGAGGCCTGCTAAGAGCCGCAGAGCTGAGTGGGCTCAGATGGGATGTGTGCTGGCTGCCCTTTCTCCCTGTTGGTAAACAAGGCAAATCTCCAGGGAGGATGAGTGACCATGAACTTGGAAGTCTGCCTGGGGATGCCGTCAGGGCCTCCGGAGGTTCTGGACTTGGCTGGGCACCCCTGCCCAGAGAGGCACTCTAGGAGGTCCTATGGGAGGGTCCCCCACCCACCATGGAGCCAGCTGGTTCGACTTCTGGTCTGGAGCTAAGAGACCACACCAGGATAGAAAGCAGAGGGGAAAACCCACTGGTCACCCTGAGGCAGTGACGTCCTGAAGACCTGCTCTGGGGACAGTGACATCATACATCCCCCTGGAATGAACAGAGGCCTCAGGTCAACGAGCTGGTTTTCTCATGGGAAGTAAGGTCGGCCTCAGAGGGAAGCTGGAGCTCTACTCTGCCCTGGGGAGCAGCTGACTTGGACAGCCTTCTCAAGTCTGTAAACTGCAAAGCAAGAGCCCAAACAGTAACATGATCCCCATGTGCGTCCTCCCTGGAAATCTGTCCTGGGGAGGCCCTGGGCACTGGTATCTGGTGTTCCAAAAAAGCAGGGCAGAGAGCACATAGCCCTGAGTCTACCAGAGGAGGAGGCCTGGTGGGGTGAACAGCCTGCACGCCCATACTGGGCCCCGGGGGCCGTCTCTGTGGACCACGACCCCCAAGATTTCAACAGGAGCCGTGCATCCCCTTTAGCCCCAGAAATGAAGCAGGTTTCTGCCAGGGGTGGGCTCTCTTCTTGCCAACAGTGAGAATGTCCCAGTTGTTTATTCAAGCAATACAGTCTCCACTGAGCCCTGTGCTGGGGACAGAACAGTTAATGAGACCCACAGGGGCCTGCCTGCCCAAAGCCCACCGTCTAGGCATTGGAGGGAGCTGCATGCTTCATGGCAGCATCCGAGATCGGCCCCCCTGGGCCCAGACTAACAGGCGCGGCTGAGGCTCCTCCCTCATCAGGAAGGCAGGGGAACTTCTGAAAATACATGGAAGGCCATACTGAGTGCATCAGGACAAGCTTGTAGGATAAGGTGAAACAGAGAAATAAGCACCAAGACTCCAAAGCAAATGCTGTACCTGGACCCCATCTAGGATGGATGGGATGGGGGAGAAGTCAGGCAGCCATGGGGCAGGGTTGCGAACCATTCATTCATGCATTCATTGAGCAAATCTGCACTGACTTCCGAGTACCTGCCCTCGCCAGGGAGCCGAGGAGCAAACAGGCAATTACAATATGGGGTATGGGAGTGATCACAGGGCACCTGGCTGAGTCTGGGGTCCCGAGAAGTTTCCTGGAAGAAGAAGCACTACATCTGGGCCTCGAGGAATGAGCAGGCAGAGGCCGGGGGTCACCCAGTGAAGGGGGGTGGGGAGGGGGCACTCCAGGTTCCCGTGTGGTACATCAAGTTGAAGGGTGCCCACCCCCACCCCTCAGCCTGACCTCTCTTTCCTTTGCTTTCAGCCCACGACACTGGTCTTGTGACCCTACAAGTTGCCTTCAACAACCAGATCATCTCCAACTCAGTGGTGTTTGAGTACAAAGCTCGGGCCCTGCCCACACTCCCCTCCTCCCAGCATGACTGGCTGTCATTGGACGGTAAGAACAGCGCTCGGGTTGCCTTGCCAGGTGCTGGGGAAAAGGGACACTTGGGGACCTTGTGCACAGGGTGTAGAAAAGAAAGAAGCATTCAGGTTCCCTAACATCCACTCGGGGCAAAAGTCTCCACCACAGAAGGACGAACTGGGTCACCGCCCCCAATCTGGATCTCTCTCTGGCACAGAATGAAGTATATGAGTTTGGGCCTGCAGCTGTCAGTCCTGCCAGGGGATCTGAGTGGCCAGACAAAGCCCCGAGTTGCTAAAAGGTCCCTCTCTGGACAGATCCTGAGAAGCAGGGTCTGAGCATCCTCTGTTGCCCCCCCCCCCGCCCAAGCCAATTTTTATGGTGTCCTCGAAGACAGAGCCCCCGGAGGCCATCACCAAGTCCCAAGCCTCTTAGAGATGAAAGCAATGTGGGCAGCTGAGGAGAGGCGGCTCAGGCTCAGCTCCTTTCGCGTTCCAAGGCCTGGACAGGGCGGGGGGAGAGGGGGCTCTGCATTAAGTGCTTTTGCCTCTTAGGGACAAGAAACCAAACCTCACGGAAGCCCACAAACACCTGTCACCCCCAGCTTCTAGGCTGTTTCTACTTTAGCCTCTGCCCCATAGAGCATGTGAAACAAGTGCAGGATCATCATTGTGGCTGATGGTGGAGGGCCAGGGAGCTCCAATAGGCTCAGATGGAGGAGACAGGACCTGCTGTCCCAGGATGGCTCTCTGAGAGCCACTGGCCTTGAACATGAGTGTTGGCACCAGAGGCTCTGCAGAGAAAAGCTGCCAAAGACAGGTGGGGGATGCTTAGGTCAGAGGCTGCGCTTCCCAGCTCTGAGCATGCCTAGCAGAAGCCCTGGAGCTGGCCTGGGGAGCTGAGCTGGTAGTCCGCTCTCTGCCCCAGACAGAGCAGGAGGGATGGGTGCACACATGTCAGTATCAGGACAGCCTGCTGAAGCGCCATTCTGTGGGGTACTTGCCAGAGACCTCATCAGCCTGAGGTGTGCGCCTTAACTAAGCTGCCCCTGGGCCCTCTGCAGGGATCACTTCCTTAAGCACCTCTCCCCTGCACACTGCAGCCCTTTGCCTTGTCAACTCTCAGACTTCCCCCTTGCTGCTGGCTGCTGGAGGATTTTCTGGGCTTGGGCACTTGCCCTGGGCCACTTTCCTGAGCCACCCCATGTGCAAATCTCAGCCTCATCCCCGCTCAGCTCCAGCAGTGACAGGGTCCCTGGCAGCCACCCTGGCCACTGAACCCTCCGAGCTGTTCCCAGAGGTGGCTTTGGGTCAGCAGGGATCTGCACCCTGGCAGAAGCTGCGTGGGAGCACCAGGCTGGTCTTGGCAGCCACCCTGGGCAAGCCTGGAGCCAGCCGGAGCTGTGAGGATGACCTGCAGGATTGTAACAGAGAAGGGCAGGGTGACCAGGGGCTCCCGTTCAGGAAATCCGGTTTCAGCTTTGCAGAACAAATGGGAAATGGAGCAGGGTACTCTGCAGAGTCCTGGCTCTCCCTGAGTGACCAGGTCACCTCACCAGGATGGACTGGAGGATACTGGGACCAACGTAGGACCTGCCTGGGAGATGGAACCCTTCCGAGAGCCAAGACTCAGCCAGGCAGTGCCTCGGAGCACAGGAAATGTCAGCCATTCCCCCCCATGGAAGCCCAGAGAGCAAGCTGTACCAGGAGGTTACGGGCAGGGGAGGGTGCTGTGACAGAGACCATGGGGAAGGAAAACCCCCTCTGCTTCATTACAAACACACTTCTGAGTCCTCAACCATACCAGGTCCCTTAGGCAATGAGCCTGCTACCAAGCTGGACAGCTGCTCCCCAGCAGCCCCTTCCCAAGAGGACTTGGAGCTCTGACCTCCAGAGGCCTGCAGGTGAAATAAGCATCCTCCAGCCCCTGGAAAAATACACAGGAGAGATGACAGGTTGGGGAAAAGACGGGAGAGGCCCACCCCATTACAGAGAACAGACCAGGGCCCCTGCAACACCTCATGAGTCCCTCTCCCTTTGGTCTTGGGCAGGTATCCTTTCAAGTAATGGGAGGGGAAGGTGGCCAGAAGGTATCCCTAAACGAGTACAAGTGCCTTATCCACCCAAGGAAAAGGTTCGCAGGATTTCACCAGCCTGATAAATAATAACCGTGGGGGGAGGGGGGCCAGAACTGCAGCCGCAGCGCCAGGGCGTAATCGGCCTCGTGCCAAGTGGACAGCTGGGACAGCCCCGAGGGTAGGGGTCTCCGGGCCTCTGGCCAACCCTGTGGCTTGGCAGAAGACGCTGCAGGGGCCAGGCTTGCAGAAGCCTCCCTCTCAGCTCCTCTCTCCCCTCCCGCCCCCATGGTTACTGGGCAGATTCGCCCTGGGAGCTGCTGGGAGGTGGGGACGCGCGTGCTGCGGCGGAGAGGGGGAGGAGAGGGGGTGCAGAGGGGAGGGGGCGAGGGACTGCAGCACCGAGCAAACTGGGGCGCGGCGGCCGGGCGGCGCGCGTGCACGCACGCACGCACACGCACGCACACACGCGCACGCACGCACGCCCGCACCCCTCCCCCACCCCGGCTCTGCAATGCAGGGGCGCCTCGCGCCCGCCCGAC